ATTTGTATTAAAAGAACAGTCCTAATCATAGTCTTAAAATTGCAGAACGCAATTCTACCCGCAACTGATTTGTGAACTTTTATTGATGCTTAAGATATTGAACCCAGTGAATAACATTGTAGTAAGCTCTTAAAGCAGGCTAATGTTTAGTAAAATATCCACTACATAATGAAAGCGAACATTTTATTTTCAGTGAATAATAATCTACTTTACCTAGGAAATAAATACTGAATAATTAAAAGTATAAAATAACAAATGGGTACTTTATTCGTTGTGGTTCAACAGAGTTCTTATGTCGTGGTTGTTGATGACCATGATAATAATTGGTAAAAAGTTCATGTTTAGACGCTTGAGTTTATCGGTCAATAGATAGTGGCAGAAAATAAACCACTGTTTTTCTTGGGTTAACGTTTATGCTATATTTAAGTCATCCTCAAGGGTTTAAACGGGGAACTTAGTGGTTTCGGTCTTAAATATAGTAAAATTAATTTTATAGTCCTTAACACAAAACATTTGTTTAGTCATTAATATAAAACAAAAGTGAAACGGGTATCAAAGTAAAATCGATACATGACAAGATCGACAAAGTTATTAGAAATAAATTTAAAAACATAATTAACAAAGAAAGCAGGAAAATTAAGGATTATCAAACGAATTTCACTATATTTAAGTCTGCAATCACTCTGTTCCCGTTTTAGAACCCTGGGATAACATAAATATAGCCGAAATGTCGGCCCATGAAAAATCGTGATTTAGTTTATGTCGCTATCTATTGACCGATAAACCCAAACACCTAAACAGGTATCTTTTACCAGAGTAACTCATATTAATGAAAAATCTGAGCCTTTCCTCCACCTGAAAATACTTACTACGTAGAAAAACAAATACTTTTTCATGGCAATGTTTTATTCGCACATTCTTACGTATTTACTTAAGAATGCCATTTCCAAGCATTTGCTACTTTTTAGTCACTTGACCCATTAGTTAAAAAATACGCAAATACTAATTCTCAAATGTATATTTGTAACGATTAATTCGCATCGTTTACAATATTGTCCTCTTCCAAAAATGTAACAGTGATCGATTGTTTCGTCCAATTTTCTCAATAGTTCTATACAATGTACGACAAATGACACGGAAGATGGACGAACACCCATTAATAAATGTTATAATAATAGAAACTATTGCTTGTTTACCGTTACGGTCATAACCGGAACAAAATCGATATGGACGAATTATTGTGTACTAATTTCGATTTAAATTAAGGCAAATTGATCGGAACATAAACTGAAAATGAGACGTTTGTTTTTATAGTGGATGATTTTTTCAAAATTAGTTTTTTACATTTGCGCATTTTATTTTCATACGACTGGTTAGTCATTTTTAGCTCAAAAGCAAAATTTTCAGTTCATTCAGTAAATTAGCCATTAATTGCCTGCAATAAAAGTATGTTTACATTAAATAAACACTGAACATTTTAATTTTTTGTCACTAATAGATTTAGATAATAGATAGATTATAAGATATTGATTTTGTAAATTGTTTTCTATGTTTTTTTGTTATTTCCTCTGTTATTGACGAATTAACTCATTAATCAGGTAATCAGGTTTCCTCAGGCTTGGCTCCCTGTCGGTAAATTCTTCTCTCCCAATTTTCCTTAGCGTTTCCATTCCGTTTCCCGGATCAATAGAGGAAAACACGCCGCCAGGCGGGCTGCCCTTGACCGTCCCGTTCCGTCTATTTCAGTTTCTTTCTCACCAGTCTCGAAGCTTTCATTCCACGCATTTCCTTTTTTTTTGTTATCGCCAACATGCGTAGATCAGTGCCATTGATCAGTATATATTTATTTTTTTAGATAGATAAATAGCTGTATTTACTATGCTTTAAATAGGTTTCGATTTCATAGAAGATTATTTATTTGTTGATCTTAATTGGTATAATTACTGCACTTAATCGTACAAAATGATGTGATTCGGAAAAATATGGTATAGGAAAAAGGTCAATATATATCGATTATTCAGTAATGTTTTCTTTGTTTTCCCACAGTTTTTGAGATAGAAACCGAAATATTCAAATACTGCGGCTTTTGCTTCTAATTTATTTAAAGCCTTCAACTTTTGAGTAAATTAAAAAGAAAAGAACTTGACTTTGAAACGGTTCTTACAAATGGTCAGATTTTTGCAGCAAAATGTAAAGCAAAATGTTCAGAGTTGTAAAAATAACTTAGAGCACCTACTTACAACTGTTTCTGAGGTATAAAAAAAAAGTAAAAATGTTGCTGTTTTTTGCTTCGGACTTTTTAGATGTTAGAAAATCAGCCCAATTTTTAAAACATTGCTGTTTTTCGCATATGTCGGGTAACAGCTAAAAACCAAAAAACAAATATTTGTAATTCTATCTGAGATATAAATGGAAAAGATTACAAATGTTGCTGTTTTTTAGCAGAACTAGAAAATAATACATCTCGAAAAATTGTATCGAAATTGTCTTAACAGTTGTTGGGTTAGATATTTGCAGCAATTTCCGAAACATAAGTGAAACCTTAAGAGAAAAAGATATGGTTGGAAAGGTTCTATCGAAATTATATTTGCAATTTGTTAAATATTTGTTAACAGTTTCCCAGTTATATTTTTGCTAGATTATTAAAATAATATTTAAAGTTAAAGAATATATGGAAATTATCTTTGGCAATATTCACTCGCAATTTCAATCGTCTCGGGGATATTGATCAAAATGTTGAAGTTTTACTGCATTTAGAATATTGATTTTTAGAGGCCAAGAATTCAGTTCAGTACTCAGTGGTAGGGATTTATTTAAAAAAAAAGGTGCCTTCAAAACAGTTATGCTCACTCGCCAGATGTTTACAAGTGTTCACTCAAAACGATCCATTGAAATGCGGTATACAGGGTGATTACAGTCGGGCGTTGTCGCTTCTATCAAAAAGTACCTAGAACTTCAATGTTGAATGGGACACCCTGTATATTATTGCACATAAAAAATAATTCTGGGCAGAAAATATTCAAATATCGGACTACATAAGACTAACAAGTAGAGAGGAGCCACAATTTCTTAATGCGATTACAGTTGCAGTCAGCAGCGCACATCTCTGTGAATCCTTTAAGTCTCCTTTAAGGTCTTTTTAATTTCCCGGAAATAATCTTTACTGGAATGCAAAAATCAATACACCTTCATTGAGTAGGTAGCAGATTACCGATCTGGCATCACTGACATGGACATGACAGGTCTGGGTTTCCAAAGCTCTGTGCTTGAACCCGACCCACAGAAAGTTGTTTTAAATTATACAGAGCGATTTGAAATTAGTGGCCCTTCGGATGAAGAGAAAAACGGCGTCGATTGCATTTATTTCATTGGAACGCCTTGTATATTAGCGCATATTCGAGAAGAGCACTAAATTTCCTATGAAATTATATAATATGTTCCTATACCTAAAGCGTAAAATTTCCTAAAAAAAAAGAAGCATTTTAGATATGCTAGAAAGCTCATAATGGTTGGAGATTATGCAATCCTTCTAATCAGCACTTGGCACTAATATACAGGGTGTTCCATTTGAAAACATGCAATTGAAGTCATCGGGGCTCAAGAACCATCACGAATTTCAAGTCGCCCTATATAATTAGAGCAAACTGTTGTATGTGGGGCTCAAGCTCAGAGCTTTCGGAACCCAGATTCAAAATTTCACATGTCGTCATGATCATCGTGTTCTAAAACAAGTTTTCTTGTGTTCTGATTAAAAAATAATTATTATTATTAATATAATAGTTCGCCGCTTTAGATGGAGCTGGAGGTAGGAATTGTGAAGCAAACATACTCAGATTTATACTCAAATATCGAAGTTGTATTTTTCGAGTTAACGGGAAACGTCGTATTGCTGAAAATCTTGTGGGTCGATAGAGCATATCTGATTGGAACTGTGATTAATTTTTTTAAAAATTCGGGTTTTTACGCCGTCGTGAAATGAACCCGAAAAACTCAAAAACAGACACAAAGTTTATTTCTTGTACTTTTTTGTACCAGTCGTTCTGGGTGAAGTCGTCGTGACTGTGGGGACGAACTCGGACAGATTGTTCGACAAGTCAGAAAAAGTTTAAGACTGCTGAAAATTGTAAAATCCACCTTACACGATAAGAAAAAAGGAATAAAAACGAAGACACACGGCGGACAGTACCTAATTTGACAAGAAGAAAATGAACTTAATAAGAACACGCCTCTTACTAGTCCGCCTTTAGCCCAGACATAGGGGTGAAGACATATCTTTTATCTAAAAAAAATTAGGGGGAGTGATTTTATTCGAAATTGTGCATTGCGGCATTCATAAACGTCTAGTGCTGCGCCGTCTAAATCCATTTTGCTTTTTAGCTAAATACAAATCTTTCAGCGCAACCAAGCTGAAACAAATAGCTGAATTCACTAATTTATACTTTTTTCAAGTTTACAACGGAATCTGCATGATAAATAAAATATGTTTGACTTAAAAAAAATTGACTCCTTAAAAATTAGTTGTTATGGATGAACAAAAAATATATATTTGGTATAAACCAAAATAATTTATTGATTATGTAAAAAAAAAATTCAAAAGTTATACTTTCTTTAATAGCTGGTATAGAAAAAGATATTGCGATCGTTTTCTGAAGTATATTTTGAAGCGATTGTTCACATAGATTATTCGCTACCTATTACAGTCACGAACGATAATATTTCACCCAAGAGCTTTCTGAAATTCAAGTTCTAAATGAATATTAACTGAGAATAAATAAAAGCGATTTAACTACCTAAAAGCTCTTTAGCTTCACATGTACATGATTGATTAATGGTTGTCTATGCTACTTCAAACTGGTTCGCTATTTAAGTGTTTCTCAGATCAATTATCAATCATCTTAAAATGTAGATTACTGTCTTTCGATGTCTGCAAATTGCCTATAACGGGGCCCCACTTGAACAACGTTAAAGTGTTTTAAGCTAACCAAATCAATCTATTACAGGGGAAAGTCTACTTATTTGATAAAGTATTCAAACCAAATGCCACACAAGAAAAAGTATACAGTGAAGCGGCCAAGAGTATCGTCTCTGATGTGCTTGCTGGATATAACGGCACCATTTTTGCCTATGGTCAAACATCGTCGGGTAAAACACATACTATGGAAGGTGTCATAGGTAAGAAAAAATATGCATTTCTACTTTCTCAGTGGCTGCAATTTAAAATCTATTCTCTTTGGAGGCATCATCATCATCATCAACAGCACTGTTTTATTTTTTTGCATTTGAATGCTCAGTTTTATTTTAATAAAAATAGAGCCTCAGTTATTGAAATACCATCAATTCTGGTGCATTTTCGCAATCGGATCTGAGAATTCTATCCAAAAAGTGAAATTCCACCTGCAACTACCGTAAGCATTGATTTTCGCTGCAGGAAAGGCATTTTAAAAGCCAAAACTAGAGCAATTCCTGCATTTGTTGCGTTTAATCGATAATAGTTTCGACTGGGGTCACGAATTCAAGCAAGATCCCAAATAAATACGGTTTAGCTTTTTAGAGAAAGCTACATTGTTTCCATAAAATATAAACGAAATGAAAAAAAAAGGAATATATGTTGCGCTCAGCTTATTGTTTATTAACATATCTTGTAAAAAAGGAATAACAATGGTATCAATACAATACAACAATATAATACAACAAGTCGTATCTAGAATTGAAAAGATCTAAAGTTAAAAGGAGTTGAATCTTAAGTCAGCTGGCGTTTTGCGTTGGCCAGAAAACATATTTTCGTTTCGTGAACCCAATCTATTAAAACATGGCTATTTCCTAAACGAAAGGAAATGACGAGCAGTAAACGTCTCAAATCGGGTAAATATTACTTTCTTGAAGCTTTGAAATCAGCTAGCGTTTTTCGTCGGCCAGAAAATACATATTTTCAATTCAATATGTTTAACAGACATCATTCAATTAAATATACAGTCGTTTTTCTATAAATTTATTCACTTATGGTTTACAGGCGATCCGCACAAGCAAGGTATTATACCTCGAATTGTGAACGACATCTTCAACCACATCTATGCTATGGAAGAAAATCTAGAATTTCATATTAAGGTCTCGTACTTTGAGATTTATATGGATAAAATTAGAGACTTGTTAGATGGTAAGTACATGAATATGAATACTTAGGTATGAAGAAATGCGTTTTCAGCAGCAATGTTACAAATGTATGTTCCTTCAGATTTATACTGTTATCGTACTGTATTGTTACCCTGAATAATTGGGATTGGAATCAATTTTTCACATTTGCGTTCATTCCATCACTGTCAAATAAAGAAAAAACATTTCTTGTTGCTTTGATTGCTTTGCTAGAACCCTCTATAGCTTAGCATTGCATTAAAGCATCCGACTAATGAATACAATATTTCTGTTTAGTTTCAAAAGTGAACCTGAGTGTCCACGAAGATAAAAATAGGGTACCTTATGTGAAAGGGGCAACCGAACGGTTTGTGTCAAGCCCTGAGGAGGTATTTGAATCTATAGAAGAAGGAAAGTCAAATAGGCATATAGCTGTAACAAGTAAATATAAATTGATTTTTTAAACCCTGCTAATTGCTAAGTGAGGCGTTTTGTTTCTTAGATATGAATGAGCATTCGTCTAGATCGCACTCAGTATTTCTTATTAATGTTAAGCAAGAGAACTTAGAAAACCAGAAGAAATTGTCGGGGAAACTGTACCTTGTGGATTTAGCAGGTTCAGAGAAAGTGTCGAAAACTGGCGCTGAAGGTAGGAAATCATCCGCGTATGCTGAAAAGTGCCAACACTATTTTTCAATTACCTTCAGGCACTGTCTTGGATGAAGCCAAAAATATCAACAAATCACTTTCCGCATTGGGAAATGTGATCAGCGCATTGGCCGATGGCAATAAAACACATATTCCGTACAGAGATTCAAAGTTGACCCGTATTCTACAAGAATCTCTTGGAGGCAAGTAACAGCAAAAGCCACCCAGTGAACGAAAATAACTTTGCCATGTTTTTTCAGGTAATGCGAGAACAACAATCGTAATTTGCTGTTCCCCGGCTAGTTTCAACGAGTCGGAAACTAAGTCAACTTTGGAGTTCGGAAAGAGGGCTAAGACTGTGAAGAATGTGGTGACTGTCAACGAAGAATTGACGGCAGAGGAATGGAAGAGGCGCTATGAAAAGGAAAAGGAAAAAGTGGCACGGCTCAAAGGCAAAGTGGAAGTTCTGGAAGCCGAGCTCAACAGGTGGCGATCAGGCGAAACGGTTAAAGCGGAAGAACAGGTCAACCTTAACGATATTAATGAAGCTATTACGCCGATTGCTGGTAAGGGTATTTTTTCCTTAATTTTGATGCAGTAATTATTTCTACTAACAATTCATTTTCACAGGTTTGGAAGAAAGCGTTGTGGAAAACGTTGCGGGTCCCATGCCAGCAACTCCAGCTTTAATGATTGGATCAACACTTGGCTTGGAAGAACGGCAAAAACTGGAACTGGAACGGTAATGCGTACACCATCAGTAACTCATCTAAATGTCTATTTCCATCCATTAAATTTCAGAGAAAGACTGTATCAACAACTAGACGAGAAGGATGAAGAAATCAATCAACAGAGCCAATATGTAGAAAAATTAAAGGAGCAGATGCTGGAACAGGACGAACTAATTGCAAGCACGCGTAGAGACTACGAAGCATTACAGAGCGAGATGAACAGGATCCAGCAAGAGAATGAAAGTGCGAAAGAGGAAGTTAAAGAGGTAAGTCTGAGAAGAAAACATACAGCGCAAATTTCTAACTCAGCCGAATTAGGTTCTTCAAGCATTGGAAGAATTGGCAGTTAACTACGATCAAAAGTCCCAGGAAGTGGATGCTAAAAATAAGGAAATGGAATCAATGTCTGAGGAATTATTACAGAAACAGACCAATCTGAATAGCACCACTACTGAATTGCAACAGCTGAGGGACATGAGTAGCCACCAAAAGAAAAGAATTGCGGAAATGTTGAGCAACTTACTAAAGGAGCTTGGAGAAATTGGTATGTAAATTTTTGCTACGTTGGCAAGCTCTAGAACTAATCACTGTTCCAGGCACCACTCTTGGCAGTGAGGGCAGTGAATTGAAGATTTCGAATGATGCCGCTAAGCTTGAGGAAGAATTTACAGTAGCCAGATTGTACATCTCCCGCATGAAGAGTGAAGTTACCAATATTACTCAAAGGTTACAAGACATTGAAAACAAAGAACAGGATAGCAACAAGAAAGTTACCGAATATGAAAAGGAACTAGCCGAATGCAGGTAAGTTTCTCCGTAATATTAAACTGGGATAATTTGCAGCAGATTTACCTTTATTATTCAGGCTACTGATCTCTCAACATGAGGCCCGGATGAAGAGTTTGCAGGAGTCGATGCGGGAGGCAGAGAATAAGAAGAGGATGCTAGAAGAAAGTGTAGATGCACTTCGGGAGGAATGTGCTAAGTTGAAGGCTGCTGAACAGGTAAGATTTAAAATTTCTTTTTTATTCGGGTGAATCAAAAGCTGCCATTTTTCGATCAGAAGCGATGATTATAAAGAAGCAATGTTTTACTGTTCATTTGTTTTACTTTTACGCACATTGTGCGCTGTGATTGACTGTCGACATATCTGGCAAATTATGCTTTTTGTTTCAGGTTTCCTCGGCCAGTGAAAGTGAAAAGAAAGAAGCCGCCGATCTTCGCATGGCCTTAGAGAAGCAAATGGATCAATTGCGGGTGGCGCATCAACAACAGGTTGCTTCACTGAGAGATGAAATTGCAGAAAAACAACAACTAATTAATGACATCAGGGAGTAAGTATTTTTCCAGTGTATTTTTATAATGTGAAATTTCAATATTCAGTGAGCTATTTTCAGTTTAACTATTTAAGGGCAGTAAAAGGATCTAACTGATGTAATAATGAGTCGTAATCTAAAGGAAAAATATTTTTTAATTTTTGGACCTTTATTATTGTATATTCTTTGAGAACAAGGAATTTGAAGTAGTGGCCGACTTCCAAATTTATTTATGTAGCACATTTTTATTTTTATTTTCTATTACAGTTCCAATCAGAAATTGACCCTTGCACAGCAACAACTTCAAGCCGATTACGAGAAGATCAAGGGCGAGGAAACGGAGAAATCTCAAAAACTGCAGGAACTCATGTCAGTATCTCTTGATAACAAGTTGAGGTCTAAATTGAAACATATCCTTAAAACCTCCGCAAGCAATAGTCCCAATATTTCCTTGGAAAACAGCCCGAAAAATTCACCCAACAAAAAAAGCTACGTAAAATCGGTAGTTTCTCCTGTTTGGGAGGATTTTGTTCCATATAAGTACGAAGTTAACTCAAAAATAAGTAAAGATTTAAAGAATTCCGAGAAAAAAGTCAGTCTTAAAGCAGATAAGAATTTGCAAAATTACGCAGCTAAATCGGAGACTGTTAAGTCTAAATCAGAAAAAACTTTGTGTACGATGTCAATTTTCCATATTCATACTTTTCATTTGCATCTCATCGTTTCCATAACCCTGCTATTGGTTACACATAAATGTCCGCAGTATTTGGTCATTTACTAGAGCATTTTATCCATTAGTCAAGTAGAAGAAATCAGCACAAAACAATTGCTTTTTAGAAGGTTTGATACGTATCAGTATTAGTATTTCATGTTGTTCAGTATTTTAGCATTTGCGATTCAAATGACAATATCTTTGGTTGATGATAAATTTAAGACTTAAAGAGTTGCTTGAAATTTCTTCCCTCGTTGTTCCATTTTCCAAATTCCAAAGCTTTTCCCTGTGATTTTAGAATCATATTTCCTATTTTATCGACTATTTTATATATTTTAAATTAATTTTTTATTTTAAAATTTTGTCGCGTTGTCACATCACACGAGCAGCGTCGTTTGGTTAAGTTTTATTTCACTTTGTAGATCGATACTGTCCTGTTTATTGTCTGGGCAGTTTGATTCTAGTTATTACTGCCATGCAGTGTCCATAACGATATTATTGAAGCACACACAAAAACAGTTTTAAATTGTACATTAGTGAAATTTGAGAATATTACAATAAAGCTTTTGAGTTTAGTTGAATCGAAAGCAAAGTAAGTTTAAAGCTGGTTTTTGATGTGTACAAAAATGTTTAAATATGCAATAGTGTAAATAATGTACTTAAGAGAAGTTATATGGATAAGTTATAGAACCTATGTGAAAAGCATATTTTTGAGGCAGATCACTCGTGATGACTTCATGCACAAACTAGTGCAGTTTGGTTAGTACATAAATTGCTACAGTGAATATAATTAAGAAAAAGATATACATGGGTCGATCTAGAATATAAAAATTATGCCACAAGTGCACGAATAAAATTATCTTTTTCGTTCATTTCATCAAAATAAGTGCGGGAAGTTAAACATTGGGAAGCGGTGATTAAAGAAAAGTTTCAAATCAATGGTATTAAAAATGCTATTGATTTTAAACTTTTGAGATACATTTTTTTAACTTTCCGCATTCATTCCAATGAATCTGAAAGAAATTAGATTAAAGAGTAGTTTCAATCAATGATTAAAGCAATTATATTGTATTCTTGAGATTTGCTGTCGGACTAATCACTATTCTGAATCGTTTTTCAAATTTAGAAGCACAAAATTTAAAGTCATTGCACATTCTTGTAATACTAAAATGAAACTCAACTTAAAGGAAAACTTCGTACACAAAAAAGAAAATTCGATGACAGTATTTTCAATAAAGTGTTGCAAGAGCTGATGGCTTATATTTTTGTAAGAATCACTTGTAGTTAGTGCATATTAATATATTTTTTTAACTTCCTGCATTCAATCCGATGAATGTGGAGAATTTAAAACATGTGAAGCTTGAAGATTAAAGAGAAGTTTTAAATCAATCGTAAATAGCAATTATATTGCATTATTGAGGTTTGCTGCAGTGCTAATCACTTTTCTGAATCGTTTTTCTAATTTTAGAAGCACAAAATTGAAAATAATTTCACATTATTGTAATACTTAAATGAAATTTAATTTAAAGAAAAACTTCGAATGCAAAAAAGAAAGTGTGTAGACAGTATTTTGAATAGTCTTGCAAGAGCTGATGGCATATATTTTTCTAAGAATCATCTGTAGATTGTGCAGATTAGTTGTTTTGTTGGAGGCCAAGTAAATGAATTCCTTAGAATTTAATTACTTGATTTTCCTCCCATCTTTTTCGATATTTCTGTAGTGGATTTTAGTGCTAACCAACAACAAAAATTGGTGCAATAACAATAAAAGCAATTTGTGATACTAGAATTTCTTTGAAGGAAAAAAGAGATGATGCCTTAAAAAGTGTAATATCAAAACGTTGTAGTAGATTAATGCAAATTTATAGGGGATAAGTATCAGTAATATTTTTGGTCAAAAGGCATGGACTGATGTGATTTGGTTTACTTAACACTTGCAACATAATTGGAATGAAACTAAAAACAAAATTAATTTATCACTGACAATAGTTTTTCTGACTGTGCATCTCAGGCATGTACACTGGAAACGTGAATCGCCCAGTTTCGCCTTAAACCAAGCTAAAAAGATGCCCCCGTAATAATACTAGCAAATATTACTTGCCAAACCCTCAATTAAAATTTATTTTCCTGTCGTGTGGTGTGGCTTCGCTGCTGCACGTCCGTTCGCCGCCCTTCGGGTGGAGTGGCGAACCGACTACTCATCAGCCCCTCTCATTCTCTTCTTAGAGCCACAAACGATCGGCGAGAGCAGGCGCGCAAAGATCTCAAAGGACTCGAGGACACGGTCGCTAAAGAACTCCAGACCTTGCATAACTTGAGGAAACTATTCGTTCAAGACTTGCAGGTAAGACTTTGCATCACAACAACCCAAAAACGATCATATGTACATAATTTGCGTCCATTCTCCAGGCCCGCATGAAAAAGAACATGTCGAGCGAAGACAACGAGGAAGACGGCGGATCGTTGGCTCAGAAGCAAAAAATCTCGTTCTTGGAGAACAATTTAGATCAGTTGACCAAAGTTCACAAGCAGTTGGTGCGAGATAATGCCGATTTGCGTTGTGAATTGCCCAAGTTGGAGAAGAGGTTGAGATTAACGATGGATAGAGTGAAGGCACTGGAGACTGCGCTCAAGGACGCAAAGGAGGGCGCTATGAGGGATAGGAAACGGTAAGTACATTTTTATTGTTGGAAATTTACTGAATGTTTACCGTTACTTTTCCTAATGGTAATTTAAGTCATTTGAAAAAATATCATACTGATGACCAATAGACGGTTAAATGGGACGTTCTTTATTATTATTTAACGGTTTTTTTAGTAATTGCATGCAATATATGCAAATCTCGCCTATCTACCAGGTACTTTCACGTATTATTTATAAATGTGCTACCCCTTTAGCCTTGTTATTTTGAAAGATTTATATGTGATTTTTGCACCAGTTTGCGGGAGATCTTCCGAATTTTTGTGCAAATAATAAAAATGTAATAGAGTTTTTCAGAAACGTGTACCAGATCAAACTTATACATTTTTTCAATGGCACACCCTGAATTCAGTGTCAAATTATAAGCCGATTTCAGCAAATATATTCTCTATCTAAATTCAGCCGTTTCTAAGATAGAAACGATTAAAAATCGACTCTAATGAAACGCATTTCGAATGTTCAGTTTACGTTTTTCTAAACTACAATTATGTTTTCAATACGTACCCCATTTTCTTGAATACGTATTCGTTTTTGTTTCTCCCTTGCAGCTAAAATGATTCCTCGAATTCTATTTTTATGTTTCTATTTCTGTGCTATTCGCCGTCGGTTAATTTGCATGATTTAATTTACCTGTTTAAAGCATCCAAGGAAATTTATCTGAAAAGAGTTGAGGCTCTGGAACTTTCAGTAGACTTGTTGGTCCACTGAAATATAGCGCATATTCACTATTAAAAATTGCTGAAGTTAAGAAGAAGTAGGTAAATATTTCCGTCCCAAAAGAATGTTGTCTTGCTCCGAATGTTCAAAAATGTACACGAGCAGCTTATTTTCTTAAGTTAATTGTTACACAGATAAACCTTCATGAGGGTGGTTTTCCAATTTTTACATGTCTATGAATCAGGTGTATAATCGATTTTTTCGGACTTTCAAAAATGAAACTGATAGAAAATTCAAATACAGATATCAAATAAAGGACAAAATTACCTTGAAACTGTGGTAGGATTTCTAACTCGTCGTTTTGACCCTTTTTAATTTCCAGTTAATTATAGTTTTAATATAAACTTCATGGAATAAAGGTATTTAAACTCGGAATTATCTTTTCTCCTTGAGATATTCTGTTATTTTCGCTTCGCTTGTTTTTTGTTGTATCCATTTTTAATATAGATTTCATATTTACCACGTTCTCTGCCTGATAAATTTTTGGCAATTAGTTATCGAGTCCATAAATTCAAAAACATTTCTTAATTTTGTTTTTATTTAAATTTAAAAATGAAATCAACTTTGCGAAATACTATCATATGTTAGTTTTTTTTTGACTGGATTTTTTCCCCATTTCGTTTTACATGTACTTGTTTTTGACTGTTTTGGTTTAGGGTTAGATTTTTTGCGTCTTTCTAAATAAAGAAAACATCTTATAAAATAATATATAAGTATTCGTTCATTGGCATACGATTCTATTCATTGGCATCCAATACTTCAAAAGTTTTCTTTAAAAATTTCCAGATTTTTTTTTAAATTTTACCCCTTATTTGCATTTAATTATACGGTCGAATGAGTGTGCTGCTAAAAATTTGAAGCGCTTTGTGTCATATCGAATTGGCATCCACAGGATCTTTTTTGTATTACATCCAAATTACTAGTGTTTTTTCTGCGGCTTCTATTTAACGAACGAAGGCTACGACTGTTACAATTTGTGCAGATTTGTGCTTGGAAAAATTGTAATGAAAGCAAACGTTGGCGATTGTCGTTTTAGAAAAAAAATTATTAATAGTTTTAAAAGAAAAACGACTAAACAAAGACCGTGCAACTCCTCAGTAGGTAGACCTGTTTTTTTCATTAGTCACTAAAAACGAACGAATTTTAATTTAGTTTGGTAATTGTCGCCTTCAGAACTCTGTTATTTAGCAGGACAGTAATAACAGCTTCAAACAGTTTTAATTTCTGTCCATATTATGCGGAAAGTCACTGTTTTATATAATGCTTTTTTGTTCTTTTGAAGAATTACCAACTTTTCACAACCAATTAATTGAGTGGTTTTCTTTTCCGTTTCGGTTTGTCAATTATTATTACTGGAGTATTTTTTTCAATTCATGGTAGTGTTATTAATTTGAAACCGTTTTTTGTTTACAGGTACCAGTTTGAAGTTGACCGCATCAAAGAGGCAGTTCGCCAAAAGAACCTGGCCAGACGGGGTCCAGCGGCCACAATCGCAAAACCAATCAGATCCGGACAACATCATGCGGGCATTACTGGGGCAACTATGGGGGCTTCCATCAGACCTCAGGGCAATAATCCAGTTGATGATACGACGCAGAAACGCAGGTCCATCCTCGTGGGCGGCAAAGGTATTATATGAGTGAATTTTTTGTTTTCTTGCTCCCAGCTCTCTATAGCAGATGATTTTTAACTCAAGTCGGATGAACACACGAAGGACGTGTTTGGTACAGTGAGTACAGGTTCTTGAGGAGGGCAAGAATATAATGAGACCCGCAAAATCGCCTCCCAACATTTGAAAGTGCAGGATTTTCAATGCATTTTATCTTTCATACGGTTATTCAATTGTGCAGCCTTCAGTTTTTTATGAACAATTTTGATAAAAACGCTGTAGCGGGTAACTTTAAAATAACTGTTTAACTTTTGGTGATGACGTTTTTTCCTTATTTAAAAATGTTTAAACAAATAAATAATACGGGATGAATGTTATCGTCAAAAGTTGAAGTTTCGTGCTGCAGCGTTAATATCATTTTTCTGTGGGACATTTGAATAGTCCTATTTTTTAAATATAATATATAACTTTCATCGGTCGTATATAGCTTCTATATATAAATACTATATTAAACTCGTTCTAGGTAAATGGGATGGATGATTCCTTAATCAATTAACAAAGCATTTGGCATTTGCAGTTATATTTCTAATTATTTTCAAGTATTCCAATCCAAGAAAACCTGCAACAAAATTTTGAATGAATTGAAAACAATGCTTAAAATTATTTCAAGGCTTCTGTGCATTATTGAAGTGAAAATGGAAAATGACAAAACCTTGCTAATCAGATGCTACGAGCCAAATATGTCGACATTCATGCAACAAAGATTTTTTGCAATTTTTCCAAAACTAGCTTTCATATAGTGTGAATCAATCACGTATAAAAAACTTGCGACTTTTTTTTACTAGCCCCCAAAAAAAAATTTACCATAATTTGCCGTTTTAGGTTAGTTAATTTTTTACAATTGCGTTTTTGAAATTTACCAGACGTATACAAGACGTAATTAAATTAAGTTTGTTCCATTTGATCGCATTTTTACTGTTAGAAACCAGCTGCATGATTGAAATATGTCTGGAAATATCAAATCGAAAACTGTTTAGTGCAATTTCCTTTATCCTTTAAATTTTAATCCAGTATTTGCAGTATGATTGCGATACGTTTTCTCTTTGAAATGAAGCTTCCAAATTAGTTTGGGTGGTTTAAGTGTGACTGTGGGAGTTTTTGGTCTATTATTTATTTCCTTTTTTTTTCACGTCCTTAATCGAAATAGCTTTGAATATCATCATTTTCAATGTTTTCCACGTTCTCTGGGTGCGTTAAATCAAAATATTCTATATTTTAAGCAATTGATTTTTTATTATGTTTTAATTTCTTCTATTTTGAAAGAAAGTTGATCTTTGCGTAAGTGCAATGAAGTCATGGGGATTTCTCCAATTATTAATAAACATTTATTTATTTTAAAAGAGCTAAACTAAGAGAACTAGGTAGAGACAAAAAAACGATTATGTATTCTAAAAAATGTATATTTTTGCACTTTTTTCGGACGTGAAAATCACATTAAAGATAAACAGGTTTTTTATTTTTTCAATGCAACTTACCTTGAAGATGTTTATATCACAGCAAAAAGCCATTTAATTCACACTTAGTAGGTCCAAATAAATTATGACTTTCTATGTATAGACTTTTACAACTTGGTTACAAGTTCTTATCGAAATTAAATCAATAAAATTGCGTAGTTGTAGCCCTCATTTTCTAGCTGTTTGGCAAATAATTAATCCAGAAAAAATATAAACTTTCAATACGCAATTAGGCGTTTATTTTTCCTTTTATTATCAAAAAATAAGTACATCCCTGATTTGAAAGAATAAATATTTAAGAAAAGTTCGATTTAAAAGGACTCTCGCAATTAATAACATAACGTGAAAGAAGTACGCAACATATTTTTAGTAACGAGGCCTCATATAAAAAGGTATTTATTTTACACCAAATAAAATAATGACAAATTTGTGTTCCTTTTTCTTAACCTTCTGTGGGTGGCAATAAAAATGCGACGTTCGAGAATGTAGTACACAGAAAATCCGACGCATTTAACAAGGACGTTCCCATTAAAAGGACATTTTAAAAATCGTCCACAAAAAATATTGTCTAGTTATTTATTGTTTCTTATTATACCTGTGCCAATGGAAAATGAACCAATTCAATTATTCATAAATTTTTTAGTTTATTTCCCATAAAAAGTTGGATTGTTCCACTGAACTCCAAATCTTGTTAGTTGCACACTAACGTTTATTAATTTTCAATTATATTCGTACTTACAGTTTTGTTAATAAAGTGAGAAATATTTATTAAAATATTGGTGACAAAATGGTTAATACATGAAAAAATCATTATTTTGATATCGTCATATTTTACTTTAGTCCGTAGAAATGATAAACAGATGTCAACCATACAAGTCAGTATTTCAAAAAAATTGTTAAAAATAGGGCGACGGAAAAATGAATTCCAGATCTGCTAGTATAATTTTGTAAAGAGTAAAAAGCTGATCTAATTATGTGATACTTGTTTTTAAATAATTTGCACAAATTTCTATTTTCTTTGAATATTTCCGAAAGTAGAATAAATTTTCAACTAAAAAAAAACTATTTTGTTGAACATCAAAATACGCAAATTTTCCCCAATGTAACCGACTCAACACACTTAACTGGACTGAAAATAAATGTTGGTAATATATTTTGGATTGTCGTAAATATTGTAATCTTTTTCAGATTAAGCATTTAAGTAAATGCCACCACAATAACACAGGGTGCTCCCTCCAGCCTGTTTTCCCGGAAAACCAGAAAATTAACCCAACCATATTAATAATACCAAAAATATTGCTGATACTTTTCCCTATTTATCGATTCGCGGGGCTTATCCCGTTTAATGTGCTTTCAAGGCTTAGTTACAATTAGAAAATAAGGTGCACTTAATTCAGATCACTAATGATAATAACTAATATTAATTATTCAAGAAAATACCAACGTATTACAGTAATAGTGACTATCTTGTTTCCATTTCTCTGTCAGATTTGATTGGTTACAAACGCATAAAACTGATCTTTTCCAACTTGGGTTAACACAACTATAGTTTATAGCTGCTAACTTTTCATAGATTTATACTTTGATACATAAAATTTTAACGTTTTGAACAATTATAAGTTAGGCAGTGAATTGAATCATCAAATTTGACAGACATTTTAGACTTAGTCTATGAGGTCTGCTTGCACGGTTTTAACTTCTATATATCCAAGTTTGGTTCCGTGATAGGTACACTGCTGAAGAAGTAAAGTGAAGCAAATGATTCGTAAACAGGCAGATAAGGCCACTACTTTCTAAGCGGCTGAGTTTTAGGTCGCCTCGACTGGAGCGATGAGGTGCATACTTTAACTGGGCATCGTGCAAGTGGGCCCGAAGTATTCAATGTAAGATTTTTAGATTAATCGAGCAAATCACGACGTTTGAAAAGGTATCGCTTTGATTGTTCAGAATTATTGCTTAACATTAAGTATGTAATTTATCAGCTCTTGGTCCTTATTAAGCATCGAACAATACCAGAAATATTTGAAACCATTTATATGCCTTATGTGATTTAACTACTCAAATAGGTTAACGATTAGCCTAATACCCTTAAATCAGTTTGCTTCGTGTTTATGGTTAATTGTCACCAAATATCGGTGAATATTTATTGATTTTGATGTTCTAGTTACTGTCGAATAATACATTCATAATAATTGTTAGAAGCAAATCGACGAACTGCAATTGAACTAATTTTATACTCAATACAGTTTAATAAAATTAAATGAAAATAAATGCACATAAAAGGGCTGATAAAACTCGCTGGTTATTATTTCGAAGAGTTGGTAGGTGATGACTAAATGGTACTAATGTTCTTCTAGAAAGTAAGCCCTCATATTTTGGGTTTAAGGCGCCTTTACCAATTTGAGACAAAATTTTTCAAATCGGGTCTCGAAACATCTGCGCTAACACTCTGAAATGCTCCGAAACACAAGGCCCATTCCGTTTGTCGTTTTGTCTAAAAGTGGTAATCCAACATTATGCTATAGACAAATTTAAAACACTAAGCTGCACGTATAATTTAAGCGGAATCGTAGATATTTTTTTTAAATGATGCCCTATTTTTATGGTAATAGTGTACAATCATTAAAATGTCAGTAATTTCCCGAAAAGTAGTATGGGTTCGATTGTTGTTTATATTCATGGCAATGTTTCTATTTTGTATTATAAAGATTGTTTTGGTGTAATTGCTTTGTACTTTTTTAGGATATTAAGTTATTAAAATATGTTTTAAAAAATGGAGTGCTGGCTTGACAGGTGCAAGTCGCGTGAGCTACTCTGCAAAAAAACTTAATAACTGAAACTGGACTAATTTTCCTAGCACTGATCTATGCCGTGCAATTGTAGGAAACTAGTGTGATAGTTTGAACTTTTTTTTGATAGACAGCAACGTCCGAAAGGAAAAGTTGTTTACAAGAAAAAATTCAATATATATTTTTATTTGTGATTAGGTTCCTTCCTACCCCTTGCCTCATTTTATGAGCTGTATTCTTTTAATTGTCTTATTCCTAAGTGTCTTATCAGCAGCAGAAGATTAACAACATCAATCAATCAGCATTTATAGCATCTGAAGGCATTTTTTGCATTACCAATTGAACCCCCCCAAATGCTGATGAGTCACTTGGTATGTGTATTGTTTAGCGTTTATTCGAATCAACTGTTTTAGTAGAATGTTGAATTCGGTTCTCATCTTAGATAAACTTCACTTGGATTTTTGACAGTGCTAAACTTCGTGTAGTAGTTATATATATTTTTAGTGAAAGCTTATAAAGTCATTGATGCAATTAATTTATTTACTTCATGGAAATTATATTCTAATAAACAGTCGAAAAAACAGTTCTGGTTGTGTTTTTAATACGGAAGAAGGCAAAACGTCCCATTTTGAGTTATTCTAAAATGTTCTTATTTGCACAGGAGTCAAGAACTGATTGATTGTTCTTGTTTGTTGAGTCTGGTTTGCAAAGTAATTTAATTAATAGTCAAGAAGTTATTATTTTATTTTTTCAGTCAATCGCTCAATTAGAGAAAATTCAACAAGCAACATACAATATAATTTGTGTTTTTGCGAGTCATAAATTATCTTTATATTCGAAGGAACGTAGTCCTTCGAAAGTAGAGTCCGTAACTTTGTCGCGTGTATTGGTTCAACAAAAAAATAAAAAACTTTGACAACAGAAATCTTAAACGCACATCTATCGAAATCCAATAGTATAAATATGTAATTCTTTATTTTTATTAGATTTTCGACTATATTTCAAGAGCTATTCGAGATAGGTAACCGAACTTTTGTACTAATTTTACCCATACTTCTAGCTACGGTATAAACGTTAACTTGCCAATTTTTGTCAGTTCATGAGATTTTGGAATCCACTGGAATTATTTTGCTTTAACTTTTACATTGAATTTGAGAAAATGGCAATTTAAAGGGCCGTGGTTTTCGTTACAATAAAGGTACCATCTAGGCAAAAGCTTGGATGTCAGCCATTCATAATATTAAAAATAAATATGTTTTCTATTTATAAAAACCAATGATATTTTTTCCACTCACAGATTGGAAAACCCATTAATGCAAGTAATAAGTTATTATATAATTTATATGATATTCAGCTAATAAACATTGTAGAAATTGAAATCTAGCCACATCCGTGTTTTTGATTCAGCTTAACTACTTGGAGTAAAAAAATAACGTCCTTTCAATTTGCCAGTTTCCCCAGTGATGTAAATGCTAGGAGAAAAATAATCTGATTTCATCGCAAAATCTTCGGCACTGGCAAATAAAAAAATGCGATTCCAACGCATATGAAGTAGCTGTAAGTAAGAGTAAAATTGTATCGAAAAATTCAGTGGAACATCTCAAGAATTGCGCAAATTTAAACCAAAAAGTTTTTTATTATTTATATTAACACCTTGACATTCATAGCTATTTGAGGGCATTTGTATACATGTTAATAGTTTATTTTCCTTTTTTGAAGATGCTATAAAGCTGGTGAAGTTATGCAACTTGGGGTTCGGATCACCCTGTGTATTGAAATTCCTATTTTATAATGTATACAGGCTGATCTAAATGAAATCGAAACTCGATAAAATTTCTTAATTGCGGAAGACTGCTTCCCATGTGGCATTGCAAATAAACATGATTTTCGTGTCTGTTGTATCAATAAGCTGATAAACAGACAAACACCTTGAGAATAGACAAATATTGATTTCTGTGATATTCTCTACTGGATTTCTCAACAATAGAGTAAAGTAAGTATACGCTTAACCGATATTATTTACTTCAAAACTGCAATCGTCATTCGTGAAGGTGATAAGCGCATATATTTTTTTTTCGATAAAACATCATACTTTATTTACTTTTTGAATTCATATACAAATTTTAAATACTTTTCATGATCGTGATTAATCGGAAATTTCTCCGTTATTTCTATTTATAAAATTTTACCTGCGAAAGTATACTCACACTCGTAATTTTATTTAATATTGCAGGGTGATCCAGAATAGTCATAGTAATTCAAATTAGAATGTTTTCAAACAAAAAACCACAGGCTTTTAAATAACGCATACCCTCGTATATTGTCAGTTTTATTTATTCAGGATTAAAATACCTTTTGCGTTTGCTCCTTTTATATTCGCTAACAAATAGTTCCTCTATAGTTATGGTTTATAAGAAAATTCTATTTTTCTAAATGCCGCGTTATATTTGGTAGTTTATTACATGAAATTGCGGTTATCATGAAAAACATTTGCTTATAGATAATAACAAATAACGTTTGTTAACAAGAAAAATATAAAATATTTTAAAAGTAATTTAGCAATATTTAAATATGCTAATTTTGACGATTATCATGATCACTCTGTAATATGTCAGGCAAAAATTTTGCATAAAATATGTTAATAGACACAGACTATTCATCAGCAACATGAAAGTGGTAATTTTCCTCGTTACAGCCGAATAACAAAAAACTTTCGAATTGTCGCTCATAATTCCAAACCATTTAGATTATACATATGCATTTAAACAAAGTAAAGTGTTTATTATATGACGCACAATTTAAAATGCTAGTTTGTTACCTTTACCTAATTGAAAATCCCATTTTTGAAAAAATAATATCGCCAAAGTATAAACTGATTTTACTCTATCGCTGGGACACCCTGTACATATATATATCAGTCAGTATAGTCAAAAGACGACTGTTTGTACAAATTCCTACTCAAGTTTCCGAATTAATGGAAAATTATTAATAACGTACGAATTGCTTTAATTTCCAAGTTTTTTTTAAATATGTAAGTACCTCTTTAAAATCGATCGAATGTGAAGGGTTCACATTCACCTTCTGAAAAATATAAGCCAGAATTATGCATTCGACCTATCGGATATTTTCACTAATGACCCAAGAGTTTAAATTGAAATATCAAGGAGTCTAAATTCTGTTGGTGTTGAAATTATGCTAAAATTGCTTTTCACTTTGCAAGTAAAAACAAAACACACTTTACTTTTTATTACATTTTACCACTCAAATATTTGTTTAGCTGTTAATGGAAAATCATCGTTTATGTAATGGATTTAACAGTTACACAATCGCAAAGAAGAAAAAAATGTATTTACTCCCTACCATTAATTGTTTCGGATTCCCAACGCCTGTTCCAATTCCGCACGTTTCTGCTGCACTTTTGTGTAAAAATAACGACACACTGCCTCTTGGGCCCATGGCTGATAGAAAAAGTCTGATCTTCGTTCTTCTTCGGGATTACCAACGACATCGGTCATTGTCTGAAACGAAATTAATTGTTTATTTGAGCAGCTTTTTTTATGAGCTGTTATATTAACCTTCAAGTCTCGAGTCTGTGATACGATCCATTTATGGATAAACTGTTGCGGGTCCTTGGCAAAGCTCAAGAAAAATTCTCTATGAGTCTTTAATGAATTAATAGTATCCACAGTTTCATGGATCTTGGAATCCAGTCCTTGTATCTCCTGTTGACTGGCGGTACTCAGTAAAAAGTTGTTCATTTGAGCCTTTAGAGTATCATCCACCTGGGAGCAAACAATTAAAAATTAGATCATTTTCAAATTACCAAATAGGCTAAACGTTACCTCAACATCAATGTCGTAACATGCGGTCTGTTTGCTTTCAGCTCCACCTTCTACTGAAATAACATGATTAATAACGATTGGATCTGGAGGATGCAATAGAGGATTCAATCGTTGCGGAATCTCGGCAAATTTCATTTTAGAGCAATTGAAGATTTGTTCTAAATATTTGTCGCATACAATGAATTCACGCTCATGTGAGTCTTGGAGTCTAAAATGAGAAATAGATACTTATTACAACACAGCTATTTATTTAAGGTGTTGAAACGCCATACTTGTACACTTAAATGCCTGATCAACCCTCTTTTTAAATGAGTCAATCGCATTTGTAAGTATTAATGAAATTTCTCTTTATTTTCGAAAATTAAAAAAAATGTTCAAAAACGTTTAGACGTTTGAACATAAATAAATACAACGCCCTTATTATTTGATTAGAGCAATCGAAACACTTTTTTCAAACTTTTGTCAAGCTGACAAAAAACAAACTGCCAACAACTGAAACTTACTTGTGAGTTTTAATATATTGCCATAAAGCTGAAATGATTACTGGGCGTGTTTGGGTGTGAACACCCAATAATCTGGCCAGTCTCGGATCCAGCTTAAATTGCAACGGTTGATAATCCAATAGTAAAAGGATTGTACACCTTACATTTTTGTCGCCTGGTCTTTTCACCTAAAGATTTGATTAAATAAAAACAGCGTTAATTGAAATAATCAAAATGCAACCAAGTGAATAAATTTGTACCTGGAAACCATCAGTTTCCTGAGTGGTTAGAGTGCGATGCCACTCAACTAAATGGTTGTCAGGTCCGTACAAATCCTTGTCCAGCTCGATTACTAATGATTTAAAAAATGACGAGAACTTTCTCTTCACTTTGTTCGGATCATTTTTGGAATCATCCAATAGTCTTCCTTCAACACGCAGTTCCCAAGAAGCAACGGATCTTTAAAAAAAAATTTAAAAATATTATAGTTATGCATGCCATTTCCTGAATAGGACTTAATTTGAACCATCAGTTTAAATGTAGACAAATAACTTTATTGCTAAAAAGGAAATATTTATTTTTTAAATAGTTAAAGTGGTTACATATTTATAAGGAATTGTACTTGCAAATCACATCAATGATGGATCTATAAATTCGTTGCTATAATAATAAAAATACATAAAATAAATGTTCCGAAACGCAGTTTTTCAACTGAATGCCCAAAAACATTGCTACAAAACCCGAATTTGAATGAGTACTTTCATTCTATCAGTTTTATTGCAGTTGGTTGTAGCAAAAAATATATTAAAAAGCGGCAAAATAAAATTCTTTATTAGTTCATTTTAGCAATGGTTTAATTTTTGAAGATTTGAGAAACTAGCACTTAAATAAAGTTCCGTTGACTGACCATAAATGCGTGAAATAAGGAATAGGCTTTGGGCTATGTCAAAAAAAAATCATAATAAAAATAATAAACAAATCCAACTGATGATAGGTCCGAAACTAGTCCTCGGAGTGGTTGCTCCCAGTAAAACCTGTTCCTTATTTCACGAAACCAGCAGCTGTTATTAGCATTCAAATTAAAATATAACAAAAAATTCGAAATATTTTGCCAATGTACTTTATTCGAACCACTGCGGCAATAATCATTAATTGCGCTCATTATTACCTATAACACACCCAAAATGCGTTTAGTATTGAGCAGCCGTGGATACAAATATAAAAAATATATTTATTATAACAATTATTAAACTATTTTTTTGGTAAACTTTTCTTTGCTCTACTTAGAATGCCGTAAGTAAACTTTCAAAAAAGTTTTGCTTGGTTTTTATTCTGTTCTATTTGAACCGGAGATGAGAATCAGTCAAGGTAATAAAACCTTGTAAAAACATAGGAATTTCTACAAAATAGGAGAATCGCGGAATAACTGAAAAAAAAGTCTTCGATACGTTCGAATAGGATTCTGGTACGTTCTAAAAGTAAATATATGGTGCTTAATAAAAAAAATATTAGATAAAAATTTCGCATATCAAATTCATAGAAAATTCAAACTTAAAAAAATAAAAAAATCCGAAAACGAAAGCACGTTTTTTGTGTTCTCTGAGGCTACTCACCCTTCTTGTCCTTGACCATCAGGCGCATCCGGACACGGCTCTTTAGCAGGATAGAATGTATTGGAAATAAAAATCCTAAGCTTGCGTTTCTGCTTCATTGGCCTCTTCAATGCTTCTTGTATGTCTAATCGTTTGCGCATTATGGTAGCGTCTAGTTTTCTCTCGAAAGCCAGAAGGTCCATGTAAGCTTGACTTTCCGGCACTAAATCTCGTACTTTTTGCGGAAGAATCTTGTCGGCAAGCTTCTTCTTCTTTTTACTAGTACTATGGCCGTAGTCACTGAAATTAAATTGGCCGATTGCCCTACCGGAAATAATCGACTAAATCAATTGATCAATACCTTTTCTGTTGCAATGAAGGTCTAGTATCTACGGGACGTTTTCCCCCTGGAGGTGTTTGAATTGGTCCACGCATTGGTGAGTAGGAAGCGCCGGAAGGACGCTGTTGGATTAGGGATCCTCCACTTGAGTTAATCGCAGTTGGGGGGTTACTATAACCAGCCCGTTGCTGAAATAAGAAAAATGCCACGCTGGTACAATAAGAAACAGTAAATGAGTAAAACGAGTTAAAGTCGTAGTGAAGATGCCCATTCGTTCTTTTTTGCTTAGCGTTAGTTATAATGATAGATAGAATTGCACAGAAAATAGAACATCTGTAGGTGTTTTGACGAAACATGAAAGGATTTTGCTCGCGACGCAGGCTCGGCTCGTTAGACCTGCACGCACCATAAGACTTCTTAAATGATATCTAACTTGACGAATAATTGAGTTCTGGAACTCCAGGCACTAGCAGAAGATCACACTTTAAAGCATCTTGATTTTTTGCTTTTGCTACAACTAGCAGTTTTAAAATTTGTAAACCATCAGCGTTACAGCATGCTAGGAAGGTAACGCGTTGTTTGTTTATTTTTCCTCTAGTGCAGTCTTTTACTGGGTGCCAACTAGGGCATTTTCGGCCAACATTTTTCAATACAAGGCAGCATTATACATCATTGTATATGTAATTGGGTAGGCGAGAGACCTAAGTATTTTATTTTATTCGCAAATGCTCTTATAGATGGATCGGCAGTACATTGACCACTGGATAAATTTTCGCCACACACTTTTAAAACACGCAGATCACCGTCTTTTTTGAAGTTGGACATTCACCCCCTGCTAGATCTAAAACTATAATTTCTATAGGACTCTAAAAATCGAGTACATTTTTCTTATAACTATGAGTGATTAAAAGAAAGAAAACACCGGTTTTTCCTGCAACTCTTGTTGCGTAAATTAAGTTCATGATTCTGAAGTTCTTTGTTGGTAGGTTGTATAGTCCATTTGTTAAGTTGTTTTAATATAAAACAAGCGTTTCTTATGTTAGATGCTTAAGTACCTTGTTTTTAATAGGTATTGCCTTTTCCGGGTGCCCTGTTTTAAAAACGTTGCCGGTTACAAATCAACATACAAACGGATAAGTATAAAGTAGAATTTTTCTTCTGCTGCACGCTGATTTTGCATGTGTCTGGATTGCTCGTAAATAAGTGCAGCATGTGTATACAGAGCTCCAATATTCCGCGAAATAAAAAAGCTATGGACAATTTACAAAATGCTCGAAAATTGGGAGAGTTGCAATTGCAATTTTGGCCCTATCGATTCAAGAAACCGGTGTTCCCTGACAAAACGGTCCCATATGGATGCTCTTGTGATGTACGCACATATGTATGTGCGTAACAAAGCAATTTAAATTTTTTTAAATTAAACTATTGATCGCTCTTTCATGTTCTTCTGGTCTTCTGTTAAAAAGTTTTTTCGTTTTTATTTATTATTCCCAGTCCATTATTGAACTTCATGATTGGTTCTGGTAAAGAATCCAGTTCCGAAATCAAATCCTGCAATCGAGCAAATTAAAACTTGATTTTAGCTAAAGTTTATCTAAGAATTCTTGAAAGGTGTGATTTTCCACATTTGATGCATTATTAATTGACGAAATTTCAACAAGATTATATCTTATTTATGCGTAAGCGTGAAAAACCGACAGCGCGTAAAACGAGGGACTACGGTATCTCGATTATAGATAGAAACAATTTCAATATTCCTGTCACAAATGAGAATACTTACATCGAGCAGCAGATCTGCTAACACAGGAAAAACTAAATGTGGAACTTCCATTTACTTTTTCAATCTTCACAATTAAAAGAAAATAAGTAAAACATTATTATGTTTGGTACTCTCACCCTTGTGGGAATTTACAAGAGCATAACCAATATTCTAAAAATAATTTACTTTGGTTTGGCTGGTTTTTCACTTTATGTACATAGGTACTATCGTAGAAAAAAATATATATTTTATTAAGGCAAATATTTTATACCTTTATATGTAGTTCGAAGCTAAAGCTTAAAGCTGTTGAAAGAGTACTAATGTTTATTGCAAACATTTGCGATCCCTTTCTTGTTATTTCAGTTATTTGTACCTAATCTGGTACTTATAATATTGTACATATTTAGAGATGTTAGTGGATTGGTCTACTTTTGAGGCATTTAGTTGCACATCAATGGATTTCTAAATACGAAGTAAGAAACGAAAAAGGGTTCTGAAACTGAAACTGCACATTGTGATTCGCACAATTTACCTTACATTTGAAAGATTAAGAGCAGTGCACTAAACACATATTTAAAACGCGTCTGCCACTCTCAAGAGGCTTGTTTTCATGCTTTGAGGTATCATTTCTAGACTGCAATCTTGCAAATTTTTGTAAGGGATTGATTGTAAACAAAAACCGAATGGTAATGTGCAGATTTGAGTCGTTTTGCCTCTAAAATCAACGACATTCTTTACGCCGCTTCAATCATGGTTCAACATTGAATTACAACCCTCCACATAGTTACTTCTCTAGCTTATTAGTATGTATCACTACTTCATAATCTTTTAGTGCTTTAAAACAGGTTTTGAGGATAATGTATACCGATAAATTATAACCATATCAACTCAATTTTCGATTAGCTTAATAAAACAAAATTGTTACCGGAAAAGTTTGTTGTTGACTGTACTGTCGCATCCCAGGATTTTGAGGCTGTGGATACCGTTGGGGAGGAGGCCCGCCCGCTCCCGGGCTGGCTCCAGGTACTGGAAAACGTTGAGCCATTGCAGTAATATTCTGCTTAGTAGGTATTTTCCATAGAGTTAGTAAAATAAATTACTTTATTTGCTCGGATGTTTTCGAGTGGTTTTCGAATAAACAGCACATAAATTAATGTTGACAACTCGCAAACGAGCGACACTTGGGTCTAGCGGCAGCCCAGATATTTTTGTATGCGAGCATCTTGACATTTCTGGCCCCGGTGAATGGCGCGCAGTTTGAAAATTTACATTTAGCGCCCTAAACTATTTTTCTAAATACATACACTTATTATTTATTTTAAATCTTCGGTACTTTTATTAGGCACTTATGGCTTAATGCAATTTATTTAAATATGCTCATTCAATTTGTTTTACAAGAATACTCGGCGCTAAATGTAAATTTTCAAACTACGCGCCATTCACCGGGGTTAGAGCTGTCACGATCATAACATGAAAAAATATCCTGGGCTACATCTAGATCAAAGTAGCTTTCCTTACGTCAGTCAATATTTCCCGTCACTTCCACGAAGTATGAAATGCCACAATTGGCATCGGGGCGGTGGGGTTGATGCCAATTTCAAAACCCGACTTTTGTAACAAGTTTCACAGAAAAATGGATTTTACCATAAAAAATTATGGACGCCACATAATTGACATCACAGATTGCTGGTAAATTACGCGTACAGAACTTCCGTTGGGTCAAACCAGAAAGTTTCTGACTGAGGGTGTCTTTCGGATTGCAAATAATATTTAGCAAAATTTTAAATACTTTATTACGCATGGCTAATACATAGAATCACTTGCAATCACAGGTTAAAAATATTATTTGGCATCTTGCTAAAAAAATATTATCAGTAAAAAAACCGGTCATTCAACTTGAGAACGCTTTATTACTTTTATTTTGAAAACGAACCATTCTATAAAA